CCTACCCCCCCCCCTGCAAGGCCCACATGCCCCACCCCAGCCCCCCAATTGCTGCCCCACCTGGCCCCATCCCCACCAGCTGCTGCAGCCCCCACAAAGGGGTTTGAGGCGGAGCAAGAGGCACAGGTGCGCTCATGTGGATGCACCCTTAGAGTGCAAAGGGTCCAAGTACCAGAGCCATGGCACTGGCAACAGTGCCTACAATCACTTCAGCCTTGAAAGGGCTGAGCAACTCAGATCAAAGTCTCGTTGAGATCCACAAACTCAACAGTACAGTGTCTTCTGAAGAATTCAGTCCAGGAGGTACCCTCTGAACAAGCTTACCAATTGCCTGTTGGGGGGCAGGGTCAACAAACAGCAAGAGCAGCTACATTTTATGTTAAATCCAGGGAGAGTTGGTGATTGTGGGTGTCCTTTTACCTAAGTACTGGTGGCACTCACCCACAACGCCAGTTCCATTCACACCTCTGTAACAAGGGATTCCAACACACATCTCCTAAAAAAGGGCGCTCCAACTTGAGAGTAGCCCCCTTGAGCAATATGAGGCCTGTGGGCTGCCAGGGGGCTGCCAGAGGGCACTCACTTGAGAGGATGAGCTCCTGGGTTCCAGGGATAGCTCCTATGCTGTTAGGATAATACCAGGTACAACCCATGGTGTCTATGCAGAAGGGGAGGGATTTTGACAAAAATTGATTCATTTATAAAAAAAAAGAAAGTGATAGATAAAATAATGTTGAATATAATGAGAGGGAAATAAACTTCATGAAACACTGGTCTACCACAGAGAATTAACATTTTGTTGGTCTCTTCCAGGTTGATAAAAGGTATCATAAAATTGTTGGTCAATGGAACTCTAAAACACATGTTCTTCAAGGAACACAAATCCTTGTTAATATGATCAGGACAATCCAGAGAAAGTTCCCAAGATGGACTAAAGAGGAACAGCTGAAAGGTACAGTTATTGATTGTATTACAGCCAGGACATAAGGAAAAATCTAAGACAAAAATCAGATTTCACGAATTTTTGTTACTTATTTTTTGTTTGATCAAGTTTAGCAAAAACCTCATTTTTTAATCATTGATGCAATGCTTCCAGTTTTGGATTTCCCATATCTTATGCACTGAAATGAGATTAATCAGTCATTTTCAGGTTAAATGAAAAGTAACTATGTTATTGGGCCTTAGTGTTTTATCAAGAATAGGCCTTGCCCAAGGGATGAGAATTCCTCTTTCAACATAATTGGTCAAATACAAGCTACTGATGTCTGTGAATGTAAAACAGGAATGGGCAAAATACGGCCCACGGGTCAGATTCAGCTCATGGAGGGACTTTATCTAGCCCCACAGCATGTCCGTTGGTCTTACCTAGCCCAGACACCATTAGGCCCAGGGCATGTCCCACAGCCTCCTGGGCACACAGCGGGGCTGGGCAGCTGCACAGCTGGACTGCCCTTCTAGGCAGCCCAGGTAGTGGCAGCTCCTTCTGGCTGCCACCACTGCTCACCCCAGCCCCATGGTACTCGCAGGGACCGACGCACACAGCCACAACCCCTCCCTGCTTCACACAGGACTTGGCCTGCTGTAGCAGACCAGCTCCAAACCAGTCAGAACCTGCACACACAGCCCTGCCCCCAGCCCACCCTGTGCCTGCTCTAGACTCACCCACCCATGCTGAGCAGTGACAGCAGCCAGGCAGAAGCTGCTGCTCAGTGCAGGGGAAAAGCAGCCCCTCCCTTTTGCCTCTGCTGGGCCCTTTTTAATGCAGCTGCCCAGAGCCCACGTCCAGGCTGCGCTGTGGCTCCTCTGCACTGCTACTGCTGCCCTGCTGGGCGGCCCAGAGGTGGCAGTGATGGTGGTGGAAAGGAGCCACAGGACAGCTTGGGAATGGGCTCTGGCCAGCTGCAGCAAGAAGAGTCTAGCAGCAGTGAGGGGGAGGGGCCATGCCCCCCACACCATGCTGACTGGCCACTGCCACTGCTCAGCATTGGTAGACGGTCTGGAGTAGGCATGGGGTGGGCCAGGGTCAGGGTTATATATATGGGTTCTGGCTGGTCCACTCCAGCTGGGGCAAGTCCGGAGTGGGCTCCAGGCAGGCCAGGGTCAGGGCTGGGGATGTGCACTGTTGGCAGTGACAGGTAGGACGTAGGCTCCAGGGTGTTGTGGGGGTGGGGGGAATGC